TCTCTCTCTCTCTCTCTCTCTCTCTCTCTCTCTCTCTCTCTCTCTCTCTCTACATTCACAACATTTTGGCCCAGAGAGAATTTCAGCTGGAGAAAACTCTGGCTCCTGTACTCTCACTGCCATTTCAGCTCAAGAAATTTGTGCCTCTTTTCCTCCATTTAGCTTGAACCAATCTCTCTCTCTTCCCCCAAATTGCAAAAGAAACCCCCCTCACTTGTCTCTCTCATCTTCCCTTTGCAGGTGCATCAATCCACAACCCGATAGGCATAAACTACGGCCTGCTGGGCGACAACCTCCCCTCCACCTCCCAATCCATATACCTCGTCCAATCCCTCCTCAAAGTCCCTCGCGTCAAATTATATGAACCCAGACCCGATATCCTCCAAGCCCTCTCCAACACCAACATCCAAGTCACCATCATGGTCCCTAACCAAGCCATCCCCAACATCTCTCTCAGCCAAAATGTCTCTGACTCATGGGTCAAGATCAACCTTTTGCCCTTTTACCCCAAGACCCGGATTCAAACCCTCTTAGTAGGAAACGAGGTCCTCTCTGATCCATCCATCAAGACCACTTGGTCCATGTTGGTCCCGGCCATGCGCAATCTCAAATACTCACTTCGAGCATTAGATGTTGGTTCGATTAAAGTAGGCACCACTTTGGCTATGGACACTCTCGAATCCTCTTTTCCACCTTCGAACGGAACCTTTCGTTCTGATATAGCTGTGCCTGTTATCAAACCGCTACTCCAATTCCTCAACAAAACAAAATCCTTCTACTTTGTCGACGTCTACCCATACTTTGCTTGGGCAGCAAATTACAAATCGATTAACCTCAATTATACTTTGTTCATGAATGGATCTGCTGGTTACAAGGATCCTTTTAGTGGGCTTGTGTACACAAACCTACTCGACCAACAACTTGATGCGGTGGCCTCAGCCATGGCTAAGCTTGGGTACCCCAATATACGAATTACAATAGCTGAAACCGGTTGGCCAAATGCCGGTGACCTCGACCAAATTGGTGCTAATGTGTACAATGCAGCTCATTATAACCGTAACTTCGTGCGCAAGCTAAGGAGTAACATGGGCACACCAATGCGCCCAAACCAAACCATCTTTGCCTACATTTTTAGCCTTTATAACGAGAATTTAAAGGGAGGTCCAGGTACTGAGAGGCATTGGGGTTTACTTTACCCTAATGGGTCTAGGGTTTATGAAGTTGATTTAACTGGGCGTACTCCTAATTCTAAGTATGCCCCATTGCCGGAGCCTAAAAACAATGAGCAATATAAGGGGAAGATATGGTGTGTTGTGGTGCCTGGTGCAAACGTCACGGCATTGGGGCCAGCACTCTCATATGCATGTTCACAGGCAAACGACACATGCAATGCGATACAACGAGGAAAGAAGTGTTTTATGCCCAATACATTGGTGTCACATGCTTCATATGCTTTCAATTCATATTGGCAAATGTTCAGGGGAACTGGTGGGACGTGCTTCTTCAATGGGCTAGCTGTTCAGACTGCCATTAATCCAAGTGATCTCTAATTCTCTATTCTTAATTTCATACTGTAGTTTTTAGTACTCTACTTAATGTCCATCTTAACCTTGATGTGGTTTGATTTTTGAATTCTCTACTGTTACCATAGTTTTGAATTCTATATGATTAGTAACTATTTTCTTAAATCTACTTTGGTGCAGTTTTCAGATCTTGTATTCGCGTAGCTTTGGATTCTTTACATGATCACTATCTAACATTGCTTTCAGCTGTTAGTATCAGCATCTACAGTTTGGGTCTACTGTCAAACCTTTTCTTTTTTTTTCCCCCCTAGTGATAACTTGGTTCAATTTCATTAATGTCTTCAGAATTTACGAGTATACAAAATGTTCAAATATCTACTATTATAGCATTATAATGCAGTCTTAAATTCTCTGTGGGTCTGGTTGGAGTTTTTGAGTAGTGGCCAGAATATTAGAACCCATTAGTGCTTGCCCTTTTAGGCTGAGTCCATTGGCATTTTGGATGGAAGTTTGCTGAGATTAGTTGAGTTTTTGCTAGATTTTGACTGAGATTTCCTAAGTTTTGATGACAAAATTATAGTATAGACCATTTCATTCTCCTCCTTAGCAGAACCTATATTTTTTGAAATTTTTGCCCTGATCTTATTTTATTCCTAGCCGTATCTTGTTGAACATGTATGCTAAAATTTTTGGAATTTAGTGGTGCATATATGCGGAACAAAAAAAATAAGTGCAATATAGCAAAGTGTTTGTCTATAGGAGTTTCAGAGATCCTTGCAAATTTCTAAATTGGCTTCTTAAGCTGTTCCTTCGTCTAACTTTGAATTTCAGATGATCTCTTTGGTTTGAGTGGATGTCTGGATGATTCTTGGTAGTTTCTACTTGAAAATGAAACTGCTCCCAATTTCAAAGTAAATTTCAGCTTATATTTGTTGCCGGCAACAAAATTTATGAGCAATAAACTAATTGGGTGGATTCATGTTTCAACTGTTTTGCAGGTTATGGATCCTGCAAGTTCCCCACCCTTTCACCAAGTTGAGAGGTGATCGCTTATGTGCTTCTTTCTTATACAGATGTGGCTTTACTCATTTTGGCAAGAAAGAGAGAGAGAGTTAACCAAAGGGTTTGAACCCATTTGTAATGCTCTGGTAGCATAGTATTAATGGTCATTTCTCACTGTTAATCTTTTGTGATTATTTTCACATTTAATTTTTTGAGATGACCAAAGTTTCCTTGTTGTCTTGGTACTGGACATTAATGCCACTTTTTTTTTTTTTGGCCTCCAGTTACTTTGGCGAGCATCAATACTAGTAGTCTTCGTCATATAATGTTGGGAATGTAGTCATCATTATTTAGTGTGCAAATGCAGAATCTTGAATTGGTAACCAGTGAAGGGGTGAGGGGGGGTTAAGTATGAGAAAGAGGCGATTGTGGGCAAAGATGATTAGATGATTTATTTTTCAAGAACTAATTTTTTATCGATTTATTTGGGAGATTTAAAAAAAAAATAAAAATGAGTTAATACATGGTTGGCAGAAGATTTATTTCCTAATTTGAGTGTTAATCATGGGAGGTGTCTCATTTCCATGAAAGGATATCCTTGAAGTTAACTTTCAAGGACCCAAACAAGCCTCGAATGGCTGAAGTTCAATTGCAAACTCCAATTGATCAAAATCTTGAAGAAAATTATATCTATATACATATATATATATTATAGAAGCTTCTATATTGAAATGTTACTTTAACATGCAATCTGAACCATCCATTGATAGGGGTTTAGGGAAGTAAGATTTGCATTATAACCGGAGCTCCAAATCCATTTTGTTGGGGCAAAAATGGGTTTGCATGGGTCCATAATAGATTTTAGGTCCTCAATCTATAAAATAAGAAAGAATTGATTATTGGAAGGAGCTCATGGTGATCCATCTTTGAATAGGTCGCATTTGTTTCTCTCTTTCGGATGAACATTGAACCATATCTGCAGCACCAATGCCCTATTAGAATCGACAAGATGTTTAAAAGTGCCAATCCGGATCGAGAATGCCATTCCACATGGAAAAATAAGTGGGGATCAACTGCATTCTAGCAACTAGGAATTAGTTTGATTCTGCTAGAGAACCAAAAGATTTTGTCATGGAACTAGGCAATCCCGATCAGCCGGATCCCACTTATTTTATTTTATTTATTAATTTATATTTTTTTAGAAATTTTTGTTTGGATTAATGATCCAGCTTCATCCAGCAATTAAATAATCCAGCCTCCCGACCTAGGTTTTGGAATACGCAATTTTAGCCGTTGGTGAGTGTGACAGATGGCGCAACATGGCCGATGCGCATGTTCATAAGACAGGACAGATATGGGTGAGTTCGGCAAGTTGTCATGGGACCACATTTTGTAGGGTTTGCTGTCTTCGATAGACAGATTCTTTATAGGTCCTCCCCCTCTTTGTTAACAGTTTTCATCAAGGTACAAATTCAAATCAAAAGTCAACTAATCCAATCGGTACTTAGAAAATACAAAATAATCGAGATAAAATATTTCTATATCACTTATTTTTAGATTTTATTTCTTGATAAATCTAGCGCTTTAAAAAGTGTATTTTAACTCTCTAATTTCTTTAAACTTATTTTATAATCTAAACAAATGTGAGAAATACATGTTCTTTTTAAACCTAATCCTCTCTCTCTTCATTTACATACCCAAAACTTCTCTTTTTCTCTCTTCCTGCATTCCTCACTCTCGCTCACTTTCCGTATTTCGCCAAACACATCTCTTTATTTTTTCGATAATCTCTCACTTCTATGAAGCCCTTCTATATATATATATATATATATATATATATAGAAGTTTGGGAGGATGGCTTTTAGAAAACATGTCTTTTTAGATTTATTTGACCTAAAAAAATAAGTTTAAATTAGCTCAAGGGGTTAGAAGAATTAAAATCTATATATTTTATGCTTTAAAATATCTTTTACAACCTTGGATCGATTGTGAAATGAAACTAAAAATATGGAGTATTGAGATATTTTCCTATTAATCAATGACAGATAAATAGACCATATGTTGCATGATATATAACGGTTGTGAAGGATGATGAACCTCAATAATCTAGTTGAAAAAAGTGTTTTGAAGTTGGAAAACCTTCGAATTGTTTATTTCAACCTCGATATGTCTAGATAGAAAAAAAAAAAAGAATTTCATGTTCCAAAAATAATACATTTTGTATAATCATTAATTTTTTATTTTTGGTAGTTTAGTGGTAAGAATGGAACTTGAGATATAACATTGCTTGACATCAACTGGCCAAGCCCCTTTCTTACATCTTATATGGTTATCTAGATCATTTGCTTTCAATGTTTTCAAGCATTTATAAATTTTCTCAATCTGCATTGTTATTTAAATTTGAAATTTCATAATTAGGATTGAACATGAATTTTCAAGCCAGCATGGTTTCCGACTACTAGAACTACATCTTCTGACACAATTTCCAAATACGCTTTATTTATAGGGTGCGGTTTCTATAGAGCTGAGGCTCTAAACAATCAAATTAGAGCCCACCTTCAGATGGTGTCGAGAAATGTTATTTCAATACTAGAAATCTTTGACTAGCCTTAAAATATCTTATCATCTTTAATTATAAATTTAAAGCTTCAAAATCATATAGATCGAGCAGATCTATGAAAACTCGAATAACTTAATAATTGATGGTTCAAAAATGCGTTACAAGATGCACTATTTCTAAAACTTGAAATCCATTGTTTTTTCAAGACCATACATCTTGATGTCGAGATGATCAATTTGAGGATATTTGAGAATCAAAACAACCTCTTCTAGTGAAATTTTTGAGTTAGACTCAAATTTGATTGTTTAGAGCTAGGCTCTATATAAACTTTTCCCTTACATCTATAGTATAAAGTGGACAGCTTATACAAACATCACAGCTATATAAAAGTGTCAACCTTGTACTCTAGGAGAAAAATGCAACTCAAAAATGTACTCGATAAGATTGTTCCAACGTCGAAAAACCGTCAATTGGTCATTTCAACATCAAGATATTTGGACATAGAAAAAGATGGATTTAAAGTCCTAAAAATAGTGTATTTTGTAATGTATTAACCAAGTCATCTAGTTTCAAAACTTTTAGTGGATATTAATCTGCTCCATCTTTTGTATTTTTAGAGCTTTAAATTCTATAAAAGATTGCCTGACCATTTATCTTTTGTAAAAGGATAAATGGGTTGGATCTAACCTAAAGCCCTAGGCCAAATCCGAGTGCAAGCACCCCTGCCTCATGGTGGAGATTAACATTGGGATGGTTGAAATTTTTAGCGATGTAAATTGATCTAAATATTAATGGGGTAAATTTAATGTACTTATTATTTCATAAAACTTTCAATTTCAGCGAATCAAACTCTACATTGAAAAGTCTTGGTGACAAATATCTATTAGTCCAAGTTTTGCATATCATTTCAATTAGATATATATCATTTTCCTTATTTCATCGACATTCATATATAGCCCACCATAAAAAAGTTGACGAGAATAATATTACGACTAATTATTTTGTATTCGTCAAAAAAAAAAGATTAATTATTTTGTAGCCAAACCAATTTAAAGAAAAGCTATATATTCTTCTACGATTCTACAATAAGCTAAAAAAAAAAATTTCAAGAAAATAATAATACAAATCCAGTTTAGTGGTCCATCTAAGCTGGCCCTTCACGTGTCAAAAGTAACAGGTCGAGACACGCGCACAAAAATATGAGTATATGATAATAAAGAAAATAGCAAACAAAAAAAAAAACGAAAAATGACCTCTGACCTTATCCCTGAAATTTCTATTCCTATTAACTTTTTGGGTTAACGAAAATTCTTTGTACCCCCTCAAATTTTAAACTTTAGAACCAGTAACCCCCTAATTATATTTTTTTTTTTGTTCATTTTATAAATTTGATCTTCTTGTTTTACAAAATTCCAAACCCATACAATAATCATCCATATATTTTTTTGACTTGATATATAAATTTTATTGATGATAATAATTTATAATTATTATAATTAATAATAATAATAATAATATATTAATTGTTAAATATTTCATCTCTTATAAGTATTTCGATAAACTTGTTTAATAAATGAACAAATAAACAATAATAACCATTAACAATAGTAACAAATATCTTGATTAATCATTTTTCAAGCTCAAACAATATTGATACAATTGTAAAATAGGTCATAATGTTAAAGAAATATTCTTTTTTTTTTTTTTTCATGTCTAAATTTATAGAGTGGGATCCATGGAGGTAAGATTGGTTTTAGGCAATGGAAGAAAAAAATGAAGGGAAAATTTTATAAAATAAAAATATCAAATTTATAAAAAAAAACAAAAAAAACACAATTAGAGGCTAACAATCCCAAAATAATTTTAAATTTGAGGGGGTATAAGGGATTTTGGTGAATCCAAAAGGCTAATAGGAATAGAAGTTTTGAGAAGGGGGGATAAAGGTCATTTTTCAAAAAAAAAAAAAAAAAGCGCTAAGAGTGATGGTAGCGATTGACCCAACCACAATGGAACATGATAGAATAAACCTAAGACCCCATGGGTAAGGATATGAATCAAACTTTAGTTGGGTTTGGGTCCAAAACTTGAACCCAAATACATTCGGATCTCGGTCCGAGTCCAGCTCGACTACACCCATAACCGACCCGTCGCCACCCTTATTTCTAAAAACCAACCGACCCGTTGCCACCACTATTTTTAAAAACCAACCGACCCGTTGCCACCACTATTTTTAAAAACCAACCGACCTTTTGCCACTCCTATTTCTAAAATGGGTGCAATTGGCATACAGGTGCATATGTAGCTGTATATGTAAGGTGCACCTTCAAATTTTATTATGTTATATAATTTTGATGTAAAATATTCTTAGGATTATCTCAAAATCAATTTTTATATCTAATCATAAAATTTTAAATTTAAAAAATAGTTAAAATCAAGTAGATCTAAATATGTGAAAATCTAAAAAATAGACGGTGTAGATAATATGTTGTAAAATGTACTATTTTTTAGACTTTAAAATCTTTTTATTTTTAGATTTAAAATCGAAGGGTTTTTCAATACTCAAACTACCTTTTTCGATGGATTTTTAGGTACATCCGTAGTTCTACATTATAAGGTTGCATCCTTATATAAACTTTTCCCTTTCAAAAAAACCTAAGGCACGCACCAACAGAGGCAAAAAAAACACCCATCAAAGGAAAGTGGGTCGCCAACGAACTTT